TCAAACGCTCACTGATGCTCCAGAAGGAAACACAATGCATTAAGAACCGGGGGTGAAAACTTTTGAACAAAATGAAGATGTGTACATGTGTACGTTGTTTTTGCACCAAAAGCTTTGCTGTCCATCAGCTATAACTGGACATTACAGTCTGATGTAATTAGCTGCTATTATATGCGTTGACCTTTAACCTTATATTGACCCCTCACCCCTTAAAAGCATGAGAATTGACATTTCCTGACACTACAGACGCTACAGTGTGTGCTTTTACCCGTGGTGACCGTGAATCTGAGGCGTGCAGGTCACATGCAGGAGAAACAGAGAGGAGGAGAGCAGCACCGTTGTGTACATCTCTCTCTCTCTCTCTCTCTGTCTGTCTATCTGTCGCTCGCTCGAGCGAGAGAGAGTTAATGCACTTTTAAAGGCAGAGAATCAGAGGCAATTAATCATCAAGAAGTGCATTTGTTGCAATTCACAGTGGATTTGTAACACCCCTGTGTTGACCGTGACAGGATTGAGTTGAACATGCTTCTGAGAAATGTGTAAATATAAATACTTGCATGTTTGCATTTATAACAGTACGGATGATTTAAAAGTAAAATCAGTTAGATCATAACTCAATGCAGCTAAAATGTCATTTTTATTTGGATGTAATAAAGACAGCTATTTCTGTTTCCGTGAAGATTTTAGGTTATACAGGTATTAAATATTATTTTCATAAAAACATGCTATTAAAAGCATGGCTTTGATTACTGAAACAGCGTTGTCCTGCCACACACATGCATGCACTCTATTTCTTCACAAAGCCAACTATATTAAAAGTCATTTCTCTTTGTGAGTTGATCTGAGCAGTATTCTAGTGTTGTCGGTTATTGTGAATGTTACCCTGAGTGTGTGTGTCTCATCTACCCGTATCTGCCTTGTTGTCTCTACATTAAATATCCTTATTTGAATCCTTGTCATCCTGCCTGCCTCCACACACCTTGACCGTGACAGGATTGAGTTGAACATGCTTCTGAGAAATCTGTGTAAATATAAATACTTGCATGTTTGCATTTATAACAGTACAGCTGATTTAAAAGTAAAATCAGTCAGATCATAACTCAATGCAGCTAAAATTTCATTTTTATTTGGATGTAATAAAGACAGATATTTCTGTTTCCGTGAAGATTTTAGTTTATACAGGTTTTAAATATTATTTTCATAAAAACATGTTATTAAAAGCATGGCTTTGATTACTGAAACAGCGTTGTCCTGCCACACACATGCATGCACTCTATTTCTTCACAAAGCCAACTATATTAAAAGTCATTTCTCTTTGTGAGTTGATCTGAGCATGAGCATGTACACACACGTGTGTTCTCTCATCTTGAACAGCTTACAGTAATCATCAGGTTATTGCTGCTTTAATGAGTTTTATGAGGTTTAGAGCGCAGTGTAAAACAGATCTCTGTGTTCCCCGGAAAGCTTTTGACCACAACCCTAAAGCTGCAGCTATTATACCTACCACACCTGTGTGTGTGTGTGTGTGTGTGTGTGTGTGTGTGTGTGTGTGTGTATGTGGG